TAGAATAGAATAGAATAGAATAGAATAGAATAGAATAGAATAGAATATGGAATGGAATGGAATGGAATAGAATAGAATAAGAGTAGAGTAGAGTAGAGTAGAGTAGAGTAGAGTAGAGTAGAATAGGAGTAGAGTAGAGTAGAGTAGAGTAGAGTAGAGTAGAGTAGAATAGAATAGAATAAGAGTAGAGTAGAGTAGAGTAGAGTAGAGTAGAATAGAATAGAATAGAATAAGAGTAGAATACAATGGAATGGAATAATAGAATAGAATAGAATGGAACAGAATAAGAATAGAATACAATGGAATGGAATAAGAATAGAATAGAATAGAATAGAATAGAAAATGGAATGGAATGGAATGGAATGGAATAGAATAGAATAGAATAGAATAGAATAGAATAGAATAAAATAGAATAGAAAATAGAATGGAATGGAATGGAATGGAATAGAATAAAATAGAATAGAATAGAACCAGGAGACTGGGAGTTCTAGTCCCGCCTTAGGCATGAAAGCCAGTTGGGTAACTTTGGGCCAATCACAGGAGACGGTGAGTTCTAGTCCTGTCTTAGATATGAAACCTGGATGGGTGACTGAGCCAATCACCAGGAGACAGGGAGTTCTAGTGCCGTCTTAGCCATGAAAGCTGCCTGGGTGACTTTGGGCCAATCCCCAGGAGACGGAGAGTTCTAGTCCCTCCTTAGGCATGAAAGCCAGTTGGGTGACTTTGGGCCAGTCCCTGTCTCTCGCTCAGCCCTTCCCACCTCACTGATCTGTTGCTGTTGTGGGGATAGCAGGAGGAAGACGACACATGAGGTGTGCTCTCCGCCTGGAACTATTTCCCAAAATAACATAGGCGGGATATCAATCAATAAAATCAGGAGCAGGCAACCATTAGTTTCAAAACCTGGACCCCAAGGAGCTGCTACGGTACCTTCCGCTGCCTCCTCCGCTTGCTGTGAGCGTCGCAGGGCCACCAGCCTGTTCCTTCGGTGCCTGGGCATCCCTTCGCCCCGCTCGCCCGCGAGGGGCTGGGGTCGGGCGGCGGCTGCCACCGCTGCGGCCACATTCTGACGGTGTTCCTCATCCCCTGGATGAGACAAGGAAGGGAGTTTTTATGGGGCGCTGCAGATAAATGAGGGGGAAGTTTGGTGCAGTGGTTAAAAGCAGAAGGCTAGCAAACAAGAGGGCCGTTCTCGCTTTAACCCAAAAGTTCTTTTTTTTTGTTTTGTTTTTTCAAGAGGCAGCTGGGACTTTCTGGTTTTTTTTTTTTCTTTGAAGAGGTTTCGCTTCTCATCCCAGAAGCTTCTTCAACTCTGATTGAATCTGTTGAGGTAATTCCCCGTTAGGAGAATGAGCGCATACAGGGAGACGTATTTGAGAGAAGTGTTTGAATAATACGCACACAGTACACAGATACACTGTACAGTAAATGTAGGGTTTTACTTCCAGAAAGGTTTAAGCAAAGTCCAAAACAAGCAGTCCAAAGTCATTCACAGGTGAAATCAGTCAGTTTTTCAATCCAGGGATAATCCAGTAACAAAGTCCAGTGTCAAAAACAGTTCAGTATCAGACTTACATCAAATCCAGTAATATCAGTCAATTAGAAGAAATGGAGCAACGGCAGTACTTTCCAACAGAAGGAAACAGAGATACACTCACACTCTCTTCTGAGACTAAGACTAAGACAAACCAGGTTTCTGGCTCCATCTTATGGCCGTTTGAGAAACCACACCCAATTACACTTTTAGAATTCTCTTAAAGAGACAGTACTAAAATGTCTATCCTGGTTTATATATTTCTAACCCAAATACCTGTTGGGTGACTTATATTCCTAGCAGAATCATTCCCCACCATCCTGTCAGAGCTGAAGAAGCTTCTGGGATGAGAAGCGAAACGTCTTCAAAGAAAAAAAACAA